CTGACTCTAGGGAGTTGTTCGTTATCTATTTGAACTGTATTGACTCTTACTCCTTTGGTCTGAAATGGGACAACAAGCAAACCATTCAGAAAAATATGCATCATGATCCCATCTAGGCATGACTCTTTGTAAGAGATTTGATTCATCTAGAGAAATGAAGGCACTAACTCTTTTGGTTATAACTGGATGTTTTTTCCTCCCAGATGGAGATGGCAACTTGGGCCCCACTCTTGTGTCTATCGATGTAGATGATGGTTGGGAACCTCCTCCTATGCTTCAATACCAAAATCCATCAAAGAAGACTGAGGGTACATGAATAAATCATTAACTTTTTCATAACATAACATTCACTATATTTGCTGTAGGGTTGGTTAGTAGCTCTCATCCATAGAAATCCTTGGTGCAGATTACAATCTTCGGTGGTATTCATGGACAGTATTAAGTTGTCAGAGGATCTGAAAAAGTTTCAAACAGTCTGTACCGAGTCTCAATCAAACTCCTTTACCGTATCATTGTTCAAGTAGTGGAATGGTATTAATGTTGGTAAAGGTATTCAATTTCCAATGACCAATGGGAATAGAATTACTGTATTATGCCCAGTATTTTGTTCCCTTGCAGATACCATGTACATGTAGTCATTATGACATGTATTTGTTGCAGGTTTGTCAGCTGATCACATTCTGAAGATTTTTAAAGAAAGTGTTGTTAAAAACATGGGTCCTACTATGGCAATTACCTTCAACCGCTCCAAAAATGCATTTCGTGAACTTTGCAGAATTTACAAGAACAGTTCTGTTGAGCTACAAAGGCCACCAGTGGTGTATTTTGTTTCTAAAGATGGAGAAGATGAGGACTATGAGGAAGAAGCTGCAGACGTAGGTGGACCATTGAAAGAGTTTCTTTCAATAATTATTGCTGTAGAAACTGTGCTTGCTTGTAATGAGCCTCAAATTTTTGAAGGCTGTGAGGACCACAAAGTACCTGTCCACTCACAACAGCTTGTGTTAAATGGGTATTTTAGAATGGTCGGACAAGTTATGGCACATGCCATTATTCATGGAGAGGTTTGGATAACAGGATTAGCTAAACCTGTCAAGGAGTTTTTGTCGACTGGCTGTGCTGAGAGTGCCCAGAAGGTAGTTTGTCTAGAAGATGTGCCAGATTTGGATGTGTGGCAGGTGTTAAAACACATGGCTGATGTAGATGAAAGTGAGATAAGTAGCCTAAATTCAGATGAGAAGGTAAACAACCTGATGGGCGAGAGTGGCTGCAGTGCTGCAATCCTGACCATTCATAATGTTGCACAGATTGCCTATGAAATCATGGTCTATCATGTGATTCATAAGAGATTGAGAGAGTTGGAGGAAATCAGAAAAGGCCTTAACTTGATGTCTTGGAGCTCAATTCCTTGCTGTGTGACCATCCTAAAATAGTGTCCCTAGTGTTTCCTACTGTAAATGAGGCTGTGATTGATGTTGACATCCTGCGAAAGAGGATAATCATTGATCCAACTACAACAGACAGTGAAAGAGACAACTTTGCTTACAAGTTCCTGCTTGACTACCTTGAAACAGTTGGCAAGAGAAAAGAGGGTAGGTTCATATGACAAGGAAGGTATGGTGGTGAGAAAAGAATGTCACTTTTCATTTCTAAAATTATTAGGGTAATGTTTTATAATATTTATCATGGTATTAAAAACTGGTACCAGGGCAAAATGTTGTTCTTTTTGACTACTAAGATCGTAACATGTACTTGTTTCTTGAAGCTCCATGATGACTTTTGGAAGCCATTTTAAGACTGTAGTCAGTAATGGTAGCAAAGCACTAAGCGTTCACCTCAAGCTGCAGTCATGTTGGTGTGTCCCATATAGACATGGTGTGTTTGCAATGGCCATGTTAAACGTGTGACAATTTCTAATTTGGGAAATAAACTGCATTTTCACGCAAATATTGTTTATTGTTTTACTCCTTCAGTATGACCACAGCAAATACACTCATAATGTAACATTAATGTTATTGTGTAAAAAATGCTTTTTACAGTTCTGTTTCCAAATCTGTTACCTTTCAGGTGGTGGGATTAAGTCAGTGCTGGCATTCATGACGGGATCAACTGTGATGCTGAAGGAAATAAACATTCGGTTTCTGCCTGACTCAAACAGTTACACAGTACGTTGCCTGATCCAGATACTTGTACTAATACTGTAAGAATACCAACATGTCATACTTCATATGAACAGTTCGAGTCAGCTTTTGATGTGACTGTTCGTATACAGGGTAAGGGTTATGGAAGAGCTTAGTGAAAAAGTTTATGGCACTGGACCTACTTCAGATTAAGTGAAGCACAATATAACTATTGTAAGTAGAAAAATTGAGGCATAGGGCTATGCTTGCATACTGGTCTACCCATTTAGGGTTAGACTTGCACTTAAGTAAAAGTATCATCTTAAGTGACAACATTAAAATGCTCCCAACAAGTACTTTGTTTTGTTCACATTTTAGCAGGTACAGTGCTGTTGTAACTGTTATATGCAGTGATTGTTACTGGCATCAGTTTTAGCGTAATCATGACTCAGGCTACACTGATTCATCTTCAGTCTTTTTTAATACTCAGAACTCTTGAATAGCAAGTGGACATTTTCATGATGTTAAATGTTCAAGTTCCAATCCACCATACTGAAAAAGATGGTGGCTGTACATTTTACCCCAATACCTTTTTATAGCATTGTGCATCCTAGGCTTGAAGTTTATAGAACTTTACTGGGTGTTTTTATGAGCAGTTTTAGGGTTTTCATATGTGCTGAGAATCATGTGTAAATGAACCAGTCACCATCTTTTCAGGTGCGGTGGATTAGCATTCACAGTAAAAGGTATGTAACTGTTTATTAGATACTATTACAGCAGTTTGGAATGTTGTTCCTTCGAAGTACTTCTGTGAGTTGAAATTAAATTAGTAGTTCAACATTATTCATGACCCTTTTACAACATACATTAAGCCATTTTGCAAACCAATTAATTTCTATTGTCTCTTTTTGTTATTTCCTTTTTTATTTCTTGTGGTGCTGTATTTCATTTTAACATTTCAAACCACAACAGCACAGTCTATCAAAAACATTAAGGAGAGAGAGATTACAAGGAGAGAGAGATTACAAAAAGTGATAACAGTAATCAACTATTTGACTTTGGGGGTGGGATCTAGAGTGCAGCTGGGTTCGAGTAACAAGCTCTTTTCTTTTTCTGCTTTATCCATGAAGTGATTATTATCCATATGTCAAAATCCTTTTTTATTTTAAATCTTTTTGCATGATTTTTTGTTTCTCAACCTATTCCCCTTCTCACCACTGCTTCCCCCCAAAAGAAATGGTTTACCCAAGGACTAAAGTGTTGTTGCTACCGTAGCTATTAATGAATTAACGTTATGTTGCAGTTGGTTGATAGTTAAAATTAATAGGTAAATCATAAAGTTTCAACAATTCCCATTTCTCGTTGAGTTTACCAGTTTCATGTAATATTGTTGTACCCAGTTAAATGGTTTTCACACTGTTCAGTTTAAACTCATTGTGAATAATGTGTTCTAGAGTTTAACCATTTTCCATGCTAATTGGTAATGGAAAGGCATCTTATAGCCTGAATTTCATCCGATTACTTCGAGTCGTTATTTCTCCCTCAGTAACTGCTAAGTGGAGAAAACGACTCAAAGCAATAGGATGAAATTCAGGCTAGGCATCTTAGGAATTGCTAAATTCCTCTTTCAATCTCATCATGCGTGATGGATGTACAAGGGCAGGAACTTTAACTGCATCCAAAAAAATGAGTAACAAAGTCAACAGATATGGAAATAGGCTACTTGCAGAGCTATTTTGCAAACACAGATAACACAAAGGCAGGGAACTATAAGGTCACAAACAAAAATTTTATCCTTTTCCCATTATAAATTTAGCAGAAAAACAGTTTTCCCTTGAATACGTTTGTTGTATCAAGTTTCTGGTACGTTTCCCTCTTTTCCAAAACTCTTATGTGAAAGTACAAGTACAGTGTAGCTATAATGAATAATACAGAGAAGGGAAGAACCCCATAAAATTACTCTGCTAATACTCTCTTTCACTCTCTTACTACATAGTTAAAAAAATCAGGAAGGGATTCTGTTACTCCATCTCTCAAAAAGAAAGGCCACAGTTCTTAAATATAGGTCAACACCATGAAAATCAGAATGACCCAAGGGATTTACTACACGTGAAAGTTCCCTAAATTCTTCAGTTGTCAACATTCTTGTATGTGGTACCTGCACACCTTCCTCTCCACCATTCCAGACGTTAGATGGAGCTGGTCCTTCATAGTCGATACCATAGCCAGCAAAATTTTCCTGCTAACCAATAAAAAAGTATTATCCACATCAAAATGAATCTGCCAAATTTGCTTACTGACAGAGGTCATACATAAAAAAACGTGTAGTGTGGCTTTAAAAAGCCAAACCTATTATTATACAACCAGTTGCTACACAATACATACCTCTATCATCATGTAATCTCAGAGCATGTAGATTACACAGATTTTTATTTTGAACAGCAGTGCAATGGTACATGTAAAGATAATAACATTGCTTTGAAACATACCTCATCTCTCAACTCTTGTGCAACTCTAAGATCTGCATTTCTGATCGCTAACATACCCCGTATCCAAAGTTGCTCTGGTGAACTGTTATGTTCAGTGCTAATGGGTCCACTGTTATGCCCAGCTTCAAAAGTTTGTAAATGGCAATTAATCCTGGGCAGAAAGACATAATGAAGGGCCACCAAATGCATTTCGTTATCTGGTTCAAGAATCCCAACAGCTTCCATATGATAGAACAAATGGTAAAATACAAAAGTACAGCCAGTGAATAGGTCACGCCATAGGCACTCAATACGCTGGTTATGGACACTTCGCCCTGCAATATGGCTTCCCCTATCTGGGCCTCGCTGTGGATGATGTAACATAAATCTTGCCACTTCCATGTTTTCTCTACCCTTATCAGACCTAACTCTTGAAGGCAGGCCAATCTTGTGGACAGCTGTTTGGAAGAGGGACAAGACAGTAGATGCCTTGTTGTTGGTAGAGCAATGTAAGAACACTATCATTCTTGTAAACCCATCTATCCCAGCATGAATGACAAACCTCCATCTGCAAAAGACAAGGTCAAACTGGCATAAAATACTGATACTCCAGCAATGTGTTACATGTAAGTATCACTACCAGTAGTAACTGCAGTGAGGAATTAATGTCCTCAAATGGAATAGCCTGTTTCCCAAGCATGTTGCATGCTAGGAAAATCATGGTGCCCCAAATCAAAGAATCCTACAATAAAACAACTCTTGTTTGACATTCACATCTGAAACATGCGCACACTCTCAAAAAAAAAGCAGCATCTGCTAGGCATAATGATATGTGGCCAAGATTCTCAAAACAGATTTGCTTGCCTTTTGTTTGTGTTAAACAGACACAACGGAAAATCCTTTGGTCCTAGTGACTCCAATATTGAAGGGCAAAAGTAGTGTGTGCAATAAATACCTCTTATTAGCCTCGTTTTTTCGGTCCGTACTGTAAATTACGGACCAAGTTTTTCCCGTCGATTCATGGCCCAAGCGCGAAGCGCGCGGGCAATAAATCGATGGAAAAAAACGAGGATCCGTAATTTACAGTACGGACCAAAAAAACGAGGCTATTAAGATGTTTATTACATGGCTTCTTCCAGTTTCGGGGACCGATTGGCATAAATACCACGAGTGATATTTTGAAATTGTTATACGTAATTTCACTCGCCTATCGGCTCGTGAAATTTGAGACAATTTTGAAATATCACGAGTGGTATTTATGCCAAATATCACGTACAAATCATGCTATTATTTATTTATACTACTACGCGCGAAGGGTTTGTAATTTTCACATGTAGGTATTTCAACTGAATCTGAAATACCACTGCTCTAAGCCAATCAAATTGCAGAAATTTTTCATGTAGTGGTATAACATTCGTTAGTACACATTATAAACTGTTTTGTTTTGGCTATGGACCGGGGTATATAGTTATTACTTCATGGTTGGTGAGTGCGTACGATTTTTATTCACGAGTTGTAAACATAATAAAATGCAAGGGGCGACAGGCCGCACATCAATACCTTTTATATTTTAACTCTAACGAGCATGTCCTTTAGGGATTTTCCTTTTTTCGTAGGAAATGATAGGTGGTTTTTTAAAAATTTGGGGACGTAACCGTTGGTTTTTTATAAGATTCCATTTTTTCATTAAAACTTTCTTTTAAAGTAGACACTGAAGGCTGGTACTGTGTCAGAAACGGCAATATTTCTTTTTCCTCTTTATTGTTGTGTTTCAGTCAGACTTGTGGGTGCAGACTCCCTCTCTGTGAACTTTATATCTGATAGAAGGTTTTCTATCAAAGTTTG